TTTTGTCTTTCATCAAATATCACATCAGTCTGACACGCTATGGTCGGAAAATCAGACTGTATTTGAAATAAAATTGCCCTTGACTAATTAAATTACAATAACGCATGTTCTTTTTTATTCACGGGACTTGCTTTTCGCGGTTGCAAAATTGCTATTCGCGGTTATTAATAAAATATTCCATCTCTCTAGAAAAAGAAGGTTTTGAAGAGAATTTGCTTAAAAATCATTCTTGTTGGTGTGATATACGAAAACAAATGAGCTCGTCGGATGAAGATCGTGATAGCGGACCTAGCGAGGTAAAAAATTCTTCTTCTCGATCGGAAAAAGTCGAAAAAATGGCCAAACGCCCAACTCGGGCGCCCAAAGTAGCGGTACACGCGTCCGGTTCAACCCGTTTTTAATTTTTCTTTTTTTTTTTTTTTTTTGTAAATAATTTTTTTATTCAATACCGATTATTTTACAACAACTCAATAAACCGTATTTTCTTTTCAGGTCAATACGTCTAGAGTTGAAGTTGATCATACCGATTATTTTACAACAACTCAATTGTTTGACTCGGGGGACGAGTTAGTGGATTGGGCTCGGTCCGTTGCAAGAGCTCTTTTCGTGAAATTAATTAGAAAAAGTACCCCCAAAATAAATAAAGTGTGTCTGACTTGTGACTTGTTCGGAAAGCCTCGAGGAAGTAACGCAGAGCCGTCCTCGAAAAGGTCTGGTAGCAAAAAAATAGAATGTGGTTTTCAAATGGTCGGACGCCGGCGGTTGGACGATAGATGGGAGCTCAGAACAGTATATGGGAAGCACAATCATCATCCGATATACACGTCTGGGCATGGGCTTAGTGCATTGAATGAAGCGGAGTCGAAGATTATCAAGGATCTTTCACAAAGTCATGTGCCGCCCAAGAAGATTTTGGCTAACCTGAAGAAAAATGGCTTGGGTCTCGATGCTTATTCGAAACAAATATACAATGAAAAGGCGAAGTTGAGAAGATTAGCTAGGGGTGACCGTACAGTGATGCAATATTTGATTGAGTTGCTTGAGGAGCATAACTATTACAAGTGGTTCCGTACAGATGAAACGACACATGCAGTTATCGATTTGATGTGGGCTCACCCTCTATCTGTCGAATTGTTAAGTAAGTTTCCGTACGTTATACTACTTGACAGTACTTACAAAACCAATCAGTACAAATTGCCTTTGTTGGAGATTGTTGGTGTTACTCCGGTCGGAAAAAATTTTACTGTTGGAGTGGTTTTTATGCGCCATGAAAATGAAGAGCATTATACATGGGTGTTGCAAAGGTTGAAGAGACTTTTCCCCCCACATACTCTACCTAGTGCACTCGTGACTGATCGCGAGTTAGGGCTCTTAAAGGCGATAGAGAATGTATTTCCGACTGTGCCTCATCTATTATGTCTTTGGCACATTAACATGAATGTGGGGCGTCGTGCTTCAAAGTGTTTTGGCAATAGTAGGCGTCGAGGATTTGCTTTTGTAGTCGGTCCGTGGCAAACTTTGGTAACATCAGCGTGTGAAGAAGATTTCTACCGGAATTATACAGTTTTAGTGAACGATTACGCGAATCATCCACAGTTGATTGAGTACCTCCAAGACACTTGGCTGATATACAAAGAGAAATTTGTAAAAGCATGGACGGATCTAGTTTTTCATCTCGGCAATACATCGACAAGCAGGTATTTATTTATCAGTGGTTAAATACATATACTTAACTCAATGTGTTGTTGTTTACTGAAACATAACCTACTTTAATCAAATTAGGGTGGAGAGCGCCCATAGAGCATTGAAGAGATGGTTGGCTTCGTCCACAGGTGGCTTTGACACATTTTGGGCACAGTATCACACACAGATTGCAGATCAACTTAACGAGATTCTGGCAGAATTTGCGAAGTCAAAGCGGATTCGGGCCCATACGATTAATGTGCCCGTATTTAAAATATTGTCCAGTGGAATTGTAACACATTCTGCACTAATGATGTTGGACGATGAGAAAGATGAAGATATAGACAGTTGCGTCTGTTACATGAGGAAATGTCTTGGCCTCCCATGCAAACATGAAATTGACGCAAAGATGAATGCACGACGTGGTGTGTTTTATGCGGAGGATGTCCACATTTTTTGGAGGACATTTGTTTCGGGATTCGGGCCTGGCCAAGAAGAAAGTGTTGGTTCAGTACCCGATCACAGGTCACAGGCTATTGGTAGGCTAGACGGGTTAATTGATGAGTTACGTGCACGTTCAGAAATTGAGATCACGGACGTGGCAGATGTCGTTTTTGAACGAATGCATCCTGGGGCGACGGAAATAAATGAGCCGGAGGCGGAGACGGAGTCAAACCGTCCTCGTCATCATCATCGGATGGCAAATCAGGCACCGGGAACTGATACTTCTGCTGAAAACGTAGTCCTGGATCGTACTCGTCCTCGTGGGGATCCATATATGTATCCATCTCCTGCTCGGGCTCTGCCTCTGACTCCTCCTCCTCAATTGTCATACGCGGTTGTACAAAAGCACCAGTTCGTTCCCCACGACGTTTAGAACTGGTAACATTACGGTTGTGCGTTCTGCCCTCCCGTTCCGCAGTATTCTGGTCCATAGGATTTGCAGGAGGACGAATCAGGGGACCTTTTCCTTTTCCCATTCCTAATTTTTTCATCCAGTTAGACATCCTACAAACATAAAACATATTTTAAATTAATTATATTAATATAATTGAATTCAAAAAAAAAAAAAAAAAAAAAAAATTAATTCGAACGCCCGGTTTGGGCG